CAGCTGGCCCTCCTCAAAACCTCTAAAGCTTCCTTATCAATCCATCAATCAGAATAGGCTCGGAAGGCGTCTTGGGGTATCTTCAGTTCAGCCCCCTGCTCAAGCAGGAGACCCTAGGACTATTTGAGATGAGTGGCTGTCAGTATCTTCTTTAAAAAAAACACCACTGAGGAGCACCCACAACTTTTGGTGTTCGGTAGGAAGTTTACTCCTTAATTTCAGCTTGCTTCTCCCATGTTTCCATCCATTGTTTCGTCCCTGCCCTTCAGGTGCTTTGGGAAATAAATTGACCCCCTCCTCTTCTTGTGGAAGACCCTCCATACTGAAAGATGCTATCGTGTCCCCTAGTCTTCTTTTCTCTAGATGGCCATACCCAATTTTGCAAGTTTTCGTATGTTTTGTCTCAAGGGCCTTTTAATCGTATTAGTTGCTCTCTCTGCACTTTTCCAAAGTCTCAATGTCTTTTTGTAATGTGGGATCGAAACTGGATGCGGGATTCCAGTTGTGGCTTACTAAGGCTTTGCTCAATACTTCCCTAACCTTCCCAATGCTTTGTAGTCCACATGGAGTCATCCATTTGTGGGGAGCACGGCTCTTTGGGGGCGGGGGGGCGAGACAGCTTATGAAGACCAGTCTGCCGGAAGGACGCACGGACTTCTGATGCAAGAGTTGCCATTGGAGGGCTGAAATAGATGGGCAAGAGTCCAACTAGTAGACTTCCAAGGCTGACTTTTTGTTCTTATCTTCTGAGCCATAAAAAAAAAGGACCTACGGCTGGTCCTCACAGCCAGCTGGTCCCACGTTGTAGCTGCCCATAGATCACGAGATCTAAAATTCAACCGCCTGCACCGACATCATCAGTAATAACAACAAACAACAATAAAGTTGGAAGGGACCTAGAGGTCACTAGTCAACCCCCGGCTCAGGCAGGAAACCCTATAACCTTTCAGAAAATGGCCAATATTGATTTTATTTATTTTTAAAGTTTTATTTATAATACAATTCAAACAAAAAAGGCACAGCGTGACATTTCCAGAGTAAGTCTTTCCTAACAGTTTTTTTCTCGTGGTACAAAAACGTAATAATCATCTTAACCTCTATTAAGCCCATCCTTCTATGTATACAATTAAATATACAATATAGTACAGTTATATACATATATATTTCAATCCTATCATTAACTTGAGATCCAGCAGTTCGCTTAATTAATACCAAACGGTAAAATTTGTCACAGATTGAAGTATTCAAGTTCTGTCTTGTCCTCATAATCATTGTAAGCCTGACCATATCAGCACATGAAAGGGTTTATATAGATCTACTCTTTCCGTTGGAATTCGCTTTATTCCTCCAAAGATTTGAGCCAAAACTGTCTGGAAGCCGTAGAATGTGTAACATTAAATAAAGTAAGAAATGGCAAAATTTATGACGGTTGCAGGCATCCAGGGTCACGTGATTTCCCCCCCTTTGGCGATACGGAAGCAAAGTCCACGGGGGAGCTGGAATCAACTTAACACCTGTTTTGCTAACTTAAATTTAACTGTAGTGATTCACTTAAGAACCGTGGCCAGAAAAGGTCGTGAATGGAGCAAGACTCTCCTAACAATTGCCTTGCCTTAGCGAAACCAAAATTGTGGAGCAAATTGCCGTCGGTAAAGGAGGGACGACCTATACTATGTTTTGCAAAGTAACAAGTTGGAGCGAGAGGGGGGGAGGGAGGGGGGTGCAGCTTGTCAAAATGTTTCTATTTTGCAAGTAGGGAGGATGTTTGTCTTTCTTTCTTTTCTTTCTTTTTCAAGACAAGAACCAAACTGTCAGTTGAGAGAGAGTGCATCTACAGGAGCATCGGCACTGTGTTCCACACATCTTTTGAATGTGGTTACCAGCCTCGCACCTGGACCCTGAAATGCAAAACACGGCAGCTGCCACCAAAAATGCCCCGTGTCGCTCCCAATGTTTGCCTGTGCAGAAGACGATCCAGTTTTGCATGTTCCTCGGCTTGGGGCCTTAGGAATGCGCGATCCCGGTTTTTGTTGTAGCAAGGAAAGACCCACCGACAGAAAAGACGAGGGATTTGGCTCTTTGATGCAGAAGGGATCTTGGCCACCTTTAAATGTTTGAGGATGCTGGCTCAGGGGGACACGAGGGGCAACGTGGGTCAGAAGGTGGCCAAGGGATCACGGCGACCAAAGAGGACACGGCAACCATCTTCGAAACAGGAAATCGGTGCCAAGCGTTTCCTGAATTTTGAGCGTGGGACCGTTGAAGAATTGTCTGCACGTTCACAAGTGTGAAAAGGCCTAGGTCACTTTTTCTGGGGGGGGATCTTTTGTTTTTAAAGGGTGGAAAAATAGTGGGGGATATTTGCTCCGGATGCCTCTCATCTCCATTGCCATCAGCTCAAAAAGTTCAATGAAAATTGCTCCACTGAAGTTGTTGCCCCTTGACGTGGGGCCAATCACAGGAGATGGTGAGTTCTTAGTTCCTGTCCTTAGGCATGAAAGGCAGCTGGGGGACTTTGAGCCAATCACCAGGAGAGGGGAGTTCTAGTTCCACCTAGACATGAAAGTCAGGAATGGGTGATTTGGGCCAATACACCAGGAGACGGGGAGTTTTAGTCCACCTAAGACATGAAAGGCAGCTGGGGGGCCACAATCACCAGGAGAGGGTGAGTTCTAGTTCCACATTAGTCATGAAGCCAGCGGTGACTAGGGGCCAATCACCAGGAGATGGGGTATTTCTGAGTCCCGCCTTAGCATGAAAGGCAGCTGGTGACTTTGAGCCAAGCACCAGGACAAGGGGAGTTCTAGTTACACCTAAGCATATAGGGAGTGGGTGGGCCAATCACAGGAGGCGGGGTGAGTTCCAGTCCCACCTAAGCATGAAAGCAGCTGGGGGAATAGGGGCCATCACCAGGACGAGGAGAGTTTCTAGTTCCGCCTTAGGCGGTAAAGCCAATTGGGTAACCTTGGGCATAGTCTCAGCTCAGCCCAGCCCCCTTCACAGGATTGCTGTGTGTGGGAAATAGGAGAAAGGAGTGGAGCATGAGGTATAAACATCTTGAGTTATTGATAAAAAATAAAAAGCAGGAAATAAAAAAAGTATAGATAAATACATCAGGTCACAAGATGCTCCCCCCCCCTCATACGCACAATTTAGGTTTGTTTGGCCTTGTCTACCGCATGAACCTCGGTCCATGTTGTGACCAGGCCCATGTGAAGTCTTCCCCCACCCCCAAGATTAATGGTTTTTTTTTTTTAACTACAGCTTGGTACAGAGAGTCTCCTCTCCCTATTGCTAGAAGTCAGTGTTTCCCACAAAACTGACCATTTTTTAAGGCATGTGGACTTCAACTCCCAGAATTCCACAGCCAGCATTGCGGCTGTGAATTCTGGGAGTGAATGTCACATGCCTAAAAATGGTCAAGGTTGAGAAACACTGTGCTAGACAGCTAACGGATCCGGCTGGTGGGTGCGCACAGTGAAAAAGAAATTGTCCCAGAAATGCGTAAGCGTTCCCACCTTACAGACACATGCAGAATTAACTCATTTTAGTCTCAGCCAAAGAAAAAGACAATGCGGGTAGGTGAGACTCAGGAGCTTCAGAAGCAAGGCCATTTTCCTAAATTTAAAGGCAGAATTGTCAGGACCAACCACGTCCCTCAAGGGGGGGGGGGGCTCCATACTTCAAACTGAAGTCTGCGTCTTGGGCTTGCATGTCTCAGTTCCAGCAAGCGGCTGGCTTTCTCGGTTCCTGGAATCAACCGGTCCCATTCACACAACCTCAAGCTGCCGTTGGTGAATGAACCGCTGCTCATCAGCCAAGAGCCATGCAAAGCCCACGAAAACTGACCTGGGGACGCTGGCGGGTCCACTTACCTGCCTACCTCTCCCTCTTCCCCTTCCAGGCCCCTCCCCTCCCCATGCCAAGACCTCCCCCCACTAACCACGTCTTCTTATTCTGCCTGCCAGAGCCGGAGGGGGGGGGGTCCTCAACAGCATCATCCTGCACCCGACCAAAACAACAGCTCTCCTGCAAAAACCTCTAAGGTTTGTTCAAGATTTCAGCAGATACCTGACTATAGGCAACAATATTTCTGAGTTTTTCTCCCCCCCCACACACACACCCGACTGATGCCAGCCCCCCAAAAGCAAAGGGAGAGAGAGAAAAGAGAGGGGGAGATAGAGAGTAGACAGAGAGAGAGAAGAGAGAGTGGAGAGGGAGAAAGAGAGGAGAGAGAGAGAGAGAAGAGGGGGAAAGAGACACAGAGAGAGAGAAAGAAGAGAGAAGAGGGGGAAGAGAGAAAGAGAAGAGAGAGAAGAGAAACAGAGGAGAGTGAGAAGAGAGAGGGGGAGATAGAGAGGAGACAGAGAGAGAAAAGAAAGAACAGAGACAGAGAAGACAGAAGAAGAGAGGAGAGAAGAGAGAGAGAGAAAAAAGAGAGAGAGGAGAGAGGGAGAAAGAGGAGGAGAGAGAGAGAGAGAGAGGTGGGGTGGGAGAGAAAGGAAAGAGAAAGAGAGGAGAGAGAAAAGAGATGGGGAGATAGAGAGTAGACAGAGAGAGAGAAAGAAGAGAGAGAAGAGAGAAAGAGAGAGAAAAAGAGAGGGATAAGAGAGAGGGAGAGATAGAGACAGAGAGAAGAGAAAAGAAAGAACAGAGACAGAGAAGACAGAGAGAAGAAGAGAGGAGAGAAGAGAGAGAGAAAAGAGAGAGAGGAGAGAGGGAGAAAGAGAGAGGGAGAAAGAGAAGAGAGGAGAGAGAGGAGAGAGAGAGAGAGAGAGAGAGTGTGAGAGAGACTGACTCTCCCTCTGCCACATGAGTCTCCTCCATAGGTCAGTTAAGGACCAGATTTCAGATCCAAGGATTGGTCTCTGCAGGAGGGTTGAGTGGGGGGTGGTGGTTTCCAAGCTCTGGGCTTCCAGGCTCAGCCTTGCCGGTCAAACCCAATGCAAAAGAGATTTTTATTATTATTATTTTAAAAAAGGATAAAACGCCAGACTTACAAGACTGGAGCAGAGGCAAAGATGCATCTTGCTTACGTAACCAGGAGAGACCAAACGCGCACACCGGCAAGCAGCCCACCATCACACAGCCGGAGAGCCAGCATACATGGTCTCCCCTCCTGCGGTTCTTAGAGAAAAATCAGGGGGGGGGAGAGAGGAAGAGAAGCATAGAGAGAGGGAGATCTGCAGGAAGCCAAGCCGCCTGCAGCAAGGAAAGTGAAGCTGCATTAAAGGCCGCCAAGAATCTCAGCCCAGCAGATCCCAGCCTCGGCCTCCGTGACACATTTACAGGATCTGGCTGCTGCAAGACGCGCATTGCGGCTTCAAAGCCGTGCAGAGTGCAGAGAAGAGCAACCAAGATGATCAGGGGACTGGCGGCTAAAACATACGAAGAACGGTTGCAGGAATTGGGTAGGTCTAGTTCAGGGGTCTTCCAACTTGGCTGCTTTAAGACTTGTGGATTTCAACTCCCAGAATTCCTCAGCCAGCATGGCTGGCTGAGGAATTCTGGGAGTTGAAGTCCACAAGTCTTAAAGCAGCCAAGTTTGGAGACCCCTGGTCTGGCTGAATGAAAAAAACAACTAGGGGTGACAGGATAGCAGTCTTCCAATATCTCAGGGGCTGCCCCAAAGAAGAGGGAGTCAAGCTATTCTCCAAAGCACCAGAAGACAGGACAAGAAGGAAAGGATGGAAACTAATCAAGGAGAGAAGCAACCTGGAACTAAGGAGGAATTTCCTGACAGTGAGAACAATTAACCAGTGGAACAACCTGCCTCCCAAAGTGGTGAATGTTCCAACACTGGAAGTCTTTAAGAAGAGACTGGACAGCCATTTGTCTGAAATGGGATAGGGTTTCCTGCCTGAGCAGGGGGTTCGACCAGATGACCTCCAAGGTCCCTTCCAATCATGTACTGTAATTCTTTGATTAAGTGAAAATGGTGCCAAGCTGAACAAGCTAGGCCGGGTATGCCCACCCACCCACCTACCCCTTCTGGATGGGCCATTTAGGTTCAAGTGGGGATATGTAACCTGAATTCATCTGAATTCAGACGCCTGTAACTCGATCTGCCATCTGAATTCTAGCCATCCTCTGGAATCGAAGCTGACCTCTGAACGGCGGAATCTGTTCCCCAAATTCTGCCATTTGTAATCTCATCTGTCATCTAAATTCAGACCTTTCTACCAGCTATAATCTAATCCAGTGGTTCTCAACCTTTTTAATGCCGCGACCCCCAACCGATTGTAAGTCGAGGACTACTCAACCGGTCGTAAGTCGAGGACTACTCAACTGGTGCAGCACCGTTTGCAGAATGGGACTTTTGGCGGGCTCAGCAGGGCAGAGACAGCCTGGACAATTCCTATTGTCTTTTGAAAGCCAATAGAATTAGACTCTATTCAAGAGAGTCTCTTCTATTGGCTTTCAAAAGCCAATAGAATAAAAGGGAGTAGCACAGCGAAGGAAAGGGGGGGGGAATGGCGGACTGCGTTGTTTGGCGACCCCCCTGAAATGGTCGTTCAACCCCAAATGGGGTCCCGACCCACAGGTTGAGAACCACTGATCTAATCTGTCATCTGAATTCACCCACCTGCAATCTAAGCTTCCTCTAAACTCCGCCATCGGTAATCTTAATCCGTCACACCAATTCAACAGTCTGAAATTTAATCTGAATTCCGCCTTCTCTCGACTGAGGCTTTCCAGGTTGGGCTCCTTTGAGTCCGTTTTTCCCTGAAGGATCCTTGGGATCCAAACTGCTGGCAAAGGAACAACCTGACAGTATTCTTTCACTGCCCCTTAGGCAGGTAAGGCTGAAGCCCTCTTGAATCTTACCCAAAAGGTAAGCAAGGAGAAAAGAGAATTGCAGACCCACAAGGGAAAACCAGCCGTTGAGGAAGAAGACCTACGGAAACATCCTAAGAATCCAGCAAGAATGTCTTCATTCTGTCGGCATAGATCACCACAGGAGCAGCAACAACAAAGCAGAAAACACCCACTTCTCAGCATTTTTCGACATGCCGAAGCATGAGTCAAAACGCGACAGGGTATTAAACCGCCTGGATTGTCCAGTTCCATATTTTTTTGCAACGGCTCTCCTGACCGCCCAGGCTAGGAAAAAGACCCCCTGGGTCAGAGTTTCTCAATCTTAGCAAGTTTAAGATATTCAGAATACTGAATATTTATATGTAAATGTAAAACAAATTGTCATCATCATCATCATCAAGTTGGAAGGTACCTTGGAGGTCATCTAGTCCAACCCCCTGCTCAGGCAGGAAACCCTATATCATTTCTTTAAAAATATAGTGTTATTATATATATATATATATATATGTATGTATGTATGTATATAAATATGACACTATATTTTTATATATAAAAAAAACATGTAGGTAGGTAGATGATAGATAGATAGATAGCAATATATTATGACTATGTATGTATGTATGTATGTATGTATGTATGTATGTATGTATGTATGTATATAGCTATTCTCCAAAGTGCCTGAAGGCAGGAGAAGAAGCAACAGATGGAAACTAATCAAGGAGAGAAGCAACCCAGTAAGGAGAAACTTCTTGACAATTAGAACAATTAACCAGTGGAACAACCTGCCTCCAGAAGTGGTGAATGCTCCAACACTGGAGGTTTTTAGGAAGAGACTGGACAATCGTATCTGAAATGGTATAGGGTTTTCTGCCTGAGCAGGGGGTTGGACTAGATGATCTCCAAGGTCCCTTCCAACTCTATTCTGATTGATTGATCACTGGAGGTTTTCAAGAAAAGACTGGACAGCCATTTGTCTGAAATGGTGTAGGGTTTCCTGCCTGAGCAGGGGGTTGGACTAGATGACCTCCAAGGTCCCTTCCAACTTTATCATCATCATCATCATCATCATCTCCAGGTGTCAAACAATAGCCAAACTTTCTTTCCTTATTCTCACCAACCAGCTCCTATTTTTAGATAACCTTTATTGTCATTTTTTTTCCTGTGAGCACAAGGGCACACGTTAAAAATGAAATGTAATTGCTTGCTCTCAAAGCGTACACATGCATAACCCACATTTAAAACTTACTATATATGCAACGTATGTCTAGACCTACACTCTTACATATAAGCAGATAAATATTAACCACTATTTCCTTAGGGTAAGTTGAGTTCCTCTTTTTAGGGGGTCACTTTTAGATCATTCTCACTTCTGCTCGCCAGTTGGTCTCCTACAAGCCACACGAGATCACCCTGGACTATGGACTAGATACTATCAAAAGTCAAACTTTCTAATGAAAAACAGTTTCCCTTTGAACACAAGAAGCTCTGGGGTGCTGTTGGGAGACCAGGATTCCAAGTTGAAGGGGGGGGGGGAAATCCCTGTGATCTGCTATTCAATTTTAAACGGAGACACCAGGGAATAATTTATATTTTTTTTCAAATATTATTTATAATACAGTTAAAAAGAAACAAATATTGGATTTAACGTGACATTCCAGTATATACGTTCTTATCAGATTATCCCACTTTTTACAATCAATTCTTCATCTCTACATATACATCTAAGTTTTATATACAATACTTGTTCTAAAATAACATATAATTCTATCTTAACCTTCATCTTTAATCCCGACCGTCCTCTTCAAATTCCTCCAGCGGTAAAATTTATCCCAGGTTTCATAATAAACTGATCCACTTTTGTCTTTTAATATCCTTGTGAGCCTGTCCATTTCCGCACATGCTAATATTTTATGTATTAACTCTTCCTCTGTGGGAATTTCCTTGCTCTTCCATTTTTGCACTAAAGCAAGCCTAGCTGCACTCAGCATGTGTAGCAGCAGGTAGACTGTTCCCTTGTCGTATTTTTCTGTCATTATTCCCAACAAGAAGAGTTCAAGTTTTAACTCTAAGTCCAGTGTTAATATATCCCTCAACCAGTTTCGTGTACACCAGGGAATAATTGATGTATGCCAGGAGCCAGGAATTTTGGTCGTAAATCATCACTGTTGTAAGTCACGGTACTGACATAAACAAACAGATTTTACAACCAGCTATGCAACTGGGCAACTGGCCCCTAATTCCTAGCGCACACTTAACTATGAGCCAGTTGTGTGTGGCAGCAGCCAAAAAAAGCCAATGCAATCCTAAATTACATTAACAGAGGGATTAAGTCAAGATCACACCAGGTACCGGTACCGCTTTATAAAGCCTTAGTAAGGCCACACCTAGAATACTACATCCAGTTTTTGTCACCACACTATAAAAAAGATGTGGAGACTCTAGAAAAGTGCAGAGAAGAGCAACAAAGATGATTAAAGGCCTGGAGGCTAAAACATATGAAGAACAGTTGCTGGAATTGGGTATGTCTAGTTTATTGAAAAGGACTAGGGGGTGACATGATAGCAGACTTTCAATATTTCAGGGGCTGCCCCAAAGAAGAGGGAGTCAAGCTATTCTCCAAAGCATCTGAAGGCAGGCAAGAAACAACGGATGGAAACGAATCGAAGAGAGAAACAAGGTAGAACTAAGGAACAATTTCCTGACAGTTAGAACAATTAATCAGTGGAACGACTTGCCGCCAGAAGCTGTGGGTGCTCCATCACTGGAGACTTTTAAATAGAGACTAGACAGCCATTTGTCTGAAATGGTACAGGGTTTCCTGCTTAAGCAGGGGGTTGGACTAGAAGACCTCCGAGGCCCCTTCCGACTGTTATTCTGTTAAGTCCCAATAGTTGCAGGTTGACTACAATAACGGGGAAAAAAAAAATGCCAGAACGTTTTGCTTCATTTGTTCATCCGAATGCACTCAAGAAGCAGAGCCACTGATTTAATTGGACAGATATCCAGCATAAAGAAATAAAGAGGCCTTCAAACATTGAGGAAGTCTAAGGGGAAAAACCCCCTGACAATTTCTCCTCTACGCATTTCACCATCCACCTTATGGGCAACTTCCATTTTTATAACAAGAATAGTTTCTGCTGATTAGGGACACAACCTAAATATGGCTCCAGTACACATCAATTCATGGAGCATGGACCACAAAACTTTGGGATTGATCTCATCATGTTTTCAGGTAACCATCCAACCAGAATTGGAGACAGCTTTCAACCCAGGATTACGTGATCAGCCAATGAATTCCTCCATCTTGGGAAGAAAAATATTGATGTCATTGGTAATGGCTTCTCCTTGTATTTCTGGACTGGATTTTTTTTTTTCCTGGGTAATTGAAAGTTAACGAAGGTCTCTACGGCCAACAGTCTGGTTCCTATTCTATGGCCATGAGGGCAGATGATTAAGCAACGAGAATCCTGGGAATTGAGATGGATTGATTTAAGTCGTCACAGAAAAGACCCAATTAAAATGGCTGATCGGTTGGCGTACCTGAAAAACCGATTTAATTTTTGTTTACTAGA